GTGCAGCGCGGGCCCATTGGCGCTTACAATCTAGGGAGACTTTACTAGCATCCCCACCTGACCATAATCCAAAGCGGAGAAGCTAAGAAGGTAGGGGATCCAAAGAGATACAAGCGTCATGAGCACTCAAATGGAAGAGGAAGGGGGCAGGGGACTGGATGGGAGTAACAGGGAGAACTTCGTGGAAGAAGGGGATATTCCTCATGGGTTTTCTACACATTCGCAGGTTAGGGGGGACAACCTGGGAGGGCTACGAGGAGAATCCCGACAGGCAGAGAAGAAACAGCTGAGACAGAAGGACAGCAGCCTGGGCTGTGAGCATTGCCAGGTTCCCGACGGGCTGCCACTAGCAACCATGATTCATAAAGAGCGAAGCACTCTACACCACACAGAGTAGGTCAGGCATTACGGGAAGCAGAAGGAATGGCCTTGGGAGTAAGAGGTAAGGAAGAGGCTGGACTTAGGCTGGGCCGGTGAGGTGAGGCAGGATTCTGTAGGGCAGAGACAAGGAGAAACAGATAAAGCTTCTATCAGGTGGTTTAGGGGCCCTGACTTAAGGAAGGACAGCTAAGGAGACCAGCTGGGGAGGGTGGGGGTGGGCAGAGTCAGGCTGGGAAGGGTCCAGGTCACAAGGTGGGGATGAAATCCAGGGGGGCTCTGGGCTGGACTCCCAGCGATGAAGAGGGCGAGGCTGGGGAGCTGCAGCGGGAACTGACTAGAGCCACACGCTGGTCAGCGGAGGATAGTGAGGGATGCCTACACCTGTGGGTACAGAGCCACCTGCTCCCAGCAGGCGCTGTACCACCTCCACCTGAGGGTGCTATACCTACCGCTCTCTGTTCACCCCGCCCAGACTCATTCCGTAAGGCAGAAGCATGACTAATTCTGAAACATCCCAATTCCCAGGTTAGGGTCGGCCTTTGAACACCACCAACCCCCGGGCCCCTGGGAGCTGTGTAGGGATGACGGGGAAGGCTTGCCTACAGCCCAGTAACTGTCGTGGAGTGAGCAGGGAGAGTCCTCACGTGGGAAGGCGTGGGGGGGGGGGGGGCCCTGAGACTGCAGAGCCCATAACCTCAGAGACCGCACGCGAAGCCTGCCTCTCGCCTTCCTCCTTCCGCTGCCCTGGCTCTCACCTTCTCTCCTCCACAATGCAGCAGTCACCACACTCTACTGACGCTGCCACCTCAAAACCCATCCCATCTGTCACCATCCTGCATCCCACCGCCCTGCCCGAGGCCTGCCCATCCTGTCCTGCCTGGAGCCACTCTTGCCTCAGCTCTTGACCTCAGGATAAGGCTAAATTTGGAAGCAGCGTTTATAATCCCTGTTAGCCCTCCTGGGCTCACCTGCGGCCCCTCTGGCTCGCCCTCGGCCCCCCACTGTGCAGTGCAGTCCGAGCTGAACAGACATCCTCACGCCCCCGCATCCCGTCCCCCCCCCACCACCCTGCACCACGATGGGCTGGCGCAGCCTCACCCCCGTGCGGTTTGGAGGTCTCCCCAGCAGAAGCCTTCCACCAGCCCCAAGTGCTGCTTCTACCTGTGTGCTTTCCCCACGAGGTGCTTTCCCCACCAGGGACTGTTCCTCACAGTGAGTTCTCAAGAAAGGCCTGCTCCGTGATGGATGAGAAAGCTCTCGGGTCACTGCCCTGGGCACGCAAGGGTGGCCCAGATGGCTCTGGGCAAGGACAGAGACGTACCCGTGTACGGACTTTGGGAATTTAAGCTACAGCTGGTGAGACAGTTAAAGACAGGCGGGCGGTAGACAGGACCTTTATCAGCTACTTCCTAGTCTCTCTGTCGTCTCAGTTGGTCCTGCAAATCCCCATCTACAAACAGGGAGCCCAGTGAACTCACACACACGTGCATGCATGCACGTACATGCGTGTCCCTGCCCTGAGCCTTGAAAACCACTCAGAATTCAAGAGTCAACAAGCAGCAGAGTTGGCCCCCTGGCCCTCGCTGTCATCGTCCCGGCAGCCCCTGCCCGGCGAGGCATTCGTCAGCCACCAGAGTGCCCACCTGCGCTGAAGACGAGACTGCTGGACAGACCCTGATGATGGGTGGCAGCTAGCACAGTTCAGAAAGCAGACCCATCTTCCTTCGAACGGACATCTTGATGCTGTAGCCGGAGCTCGTTCACGCATTTGATTTATTAACAAATTTAGCATGTAAGAAAAACATCTGCATTTCGCTTTTATCATCTTGCCAGCAGACAGGCTGAAGACAAGATGTGTACTGTAGACTTGTTTAATGGGGCCCTAAACACTCCCTTCTCCCTTGCCCCAGCTTACATGAGGCTCCGGTTTCAGAAGTTGTCTGCTTTAACTGACCTAACACAAACAAACAGGAGCATAAAGCTCTCATCGACACATAAATACTGCAGGGACCGGCAGAGTGGCCATAAAGTCCCTGCCCCAAAGTCCTGGCCACAGCATCCTACATGCTGGGGCTACCTCAGAACTGGGGGGACAAAAAGGTACCTTGGTTATTTAAAACTACTGACTGGGTCTGATCACACTTTATTATAGACGAGTTGAAGATGTTCATTTAAAGTGAACTTCATTTAAAGATTTCATTGAATGTGAGCTTGTGAGGAGATCTGCTTAGGGGAAAACGCCACGGTTGGACAATGTAGTGGGTAGAATTATGTCTCCCCAAAAAGACATGTTCAAGTCCTCACCCCACAACCCAACCTGTGATCGTGACTTAACTTGGAAACAGGGTCTTTGCAGATGCATGTGAGTTAGAATGGTTCATACTGGATGAGGGTGGGCCCTGATCCCGTGACTGGTGTCCTTCTCAGATGAGGAAATTTGAACACAAAGACACACAGACAAGGGGAGGCGGCCACGTGAAGATGGAGGCGGAGAACGCGGTGATACATCTGTAAGCCAAGGAACGCCAAAGACTGCCAGAAGCCACCAGAAGCGAGGACGCCCAGGCAGAGCATGAATTCTCCCTCTGAGCCGCCAGGAAAAAAACCAACCATTTAGACACCTTCATTTTGGATTTTTGGCCCTTGGACTCTGAGAGAATAAATTTCTATTATTTTAGCCTCCCGGCCTGTGGTCACTTGTTAAAGCAGCCCTAGGCAGAACCAACAGGCATCTCTCTAATATTGGTGATGATGGTAATTCTGGAGGATTTGGCACCCACCGTGTGGCATAGCTGGAAAGCAGCTGGCCCAGGGGATGAAGAACCCAGCACTGCTGCTGAGGAATGGCCCCACACAGAAGATGCTCCTGAGTGTCCCTGGGTCCCCATTTCTTCCCACACAAAATAAAGGGATCTGACCAAAAAAGAAGCTAATCAGAAGCCATTTTTCATATGTGAATCTGTTGAGCTCCACAGTGGCACTGTTTTATGTTTGTTGACAACACATTTGTTAACCACTTTTTAACAGGCAGGATCTTCAAAAATGTCAAGGCCAAGTGGCCCACACATCAGGAGCACCCTTTGAGCCCTTCCCAGGACAAGCGCAGACGTCCAAGTGCCCGGGGGGGGGGGTCCCACTTATGGCTGACGGCCGGTTCTCCTACTGACTTGAAAAGTGTGCACCTGAACCCAGATTGCTCTTTGTCGAGCCAGAGATTTTAGTCCCCAGGAGAATACACCCAAATCGAGCCTGGATCTGCTAAGCAGCTTGCAACACTGGTGAGACTCATTTTCAATGAGGGAAAGTCTTTGCGTGTTCATTTTGTTGATTTTTTTTTTAAAGCATACTGGAGGGCGCCTGGGTGGCTCAGTTGGTTAAGCAACTGCCTTCGGCTCAGGTCATGATCCTGGAGTCCCTGGATCGAGTCCCGCATTGGGCTCCCTGCTCAGCAAGGAACCTGCTTCTCCCTCTGACCCTTCCCCCTCTCGTGCTGTCTCTCATTCTCTCTCTCGCAATAAAATCTTAAAAAAAGCATACTGGAAAACGTCACTGGGAAGGAGCAGCAGGTGTTCTGCTAAATCCTCTGCCATGAGAAGGATGCACCCTTGCCCGGGGTCTTATGACCTGCAGCACCATGGGTGGATGAAGGAGACAGCCTGCCCACAGGCCAAGGAGGTGAGCAGGAATTCTGGAATAACACCCTTTGTCCTCTGTCACCCAGGCTCCCCTACAATGTCTGTAATGTTTGCTAAGCTGCATTTTATTGAATATGGTTATTTTCCTAAAGGACTTTTATTCAGATTTATACTCATGATTTCACCTCCTGGGGGCCAGAACATTTTCCTAGGAAGAAAGATCTTGTTCCTCTATCCAAAGGAATAAAAGGGAGGTTTCCCCAGGCCTCCAGATTTTCAGATTTGAGTTGGCAGGCCATCCGTATGTGCTCCGATGTCCCCATTTTTGCTCTCATCTCTTCTTGTTTTTCTTGCTGCTTTAATAGTCTGTTTATAAGCTCCAGGAAGAAAGGATCAAGGCCAGTCTGGCTCACGGTGCTATCCCCAGCTCCCAGCGTGGTGCCTGGCCCAGAGAAGATTCCTGAGTACTCCCTGTCTAACGAGTGTATGCATGCCGCCCCTCACGGGGTCAGCTCGACACTGGCTCTGCAGCGTTTGGAAAGCTGGCCATCCACTCTCTGAGCTCCCAGCAGGAAAAGGGTTTCAAGATGACGAATGTTGATGTAGACAAGCTGGAGTCACCCTCTCACCCTGAGATCTGTTTTGCAATCTATACAGGGCAAAGGGGATCGCTCGCACATGTCTGTTAGGAGCCAAGAATTTGAACTTGCTACCCTGGCTGCTACAGTTGTGTGGCTTCTTTCCCAGCTAGAGTGGTAAATTTGTGTCCCAAGCTAGTTCGGCTGAATTCAGTGCCCTCTAGAAGCTCCCACAAGGGGCTGGCTTCCGGAGCAGGCTTTATGATACCGCGGTTTGGATGCGTGGAGCAAACCTGAGTCCAGGGCATCTCAGAGCTATATCATCTGTACTATCGCCGTGGGTGAAGGTCCCAGGCCCCTCAGACCCCCCAGTCTCACCTGCCCTCCCGAGCCCCCCGTAGCTTACCGCTAAGAGGGTGGGGAACCGTGAACTGCTTCTTGTTGGCGCGGACAGGAAAGAGACTCTGCTTCTGGCCCAGGTTCTCCTTCCGCTGGGCTTTTCTCTGCTGTACCATGTGCTCCAGCTTCTTCAGCCGTTCTTGGGAACGAGAAATGAACTGGGGTTTCCGGACTTCCAGGGCTTCCTAACAGCAGCGAGAGAATATTTTATCTTTAATAGACGTGATGCGGGCAAGAGATACAGCCCTCTGATTTGGTCAAGAAGCTGATCAAAAGCACAACATTCAAAGACCGACAGCCACAGCGCATCTGCACACCACGATTTTCTGCCGCTGCCTCGTGTGGAGACTGTGACAGGCATGTTGACGACGTAGGTCCTGTGGGGCGACCCCAGCCAGCCCCCAGGGCCCCACTGCAGCATGGCTGCCTGGCCACCGACAGCAAGGTGGCACACTTCTACCCATCCCTTCTTCCCCGTCAATCCAGTCGGTTTCCAGCAGACCGAAGTCCGAGGGCCCCGAACTCCCTACTCCGAAGAGACATGGGTGGGGAAGGAATGAAGGCACTAGGAGTCACTTGCTTCTGCTGGGGGTTGGACGCCTCACACACAGACCGAGATCATCCACCCAGTGTGAAATACATGCCTTTTCAGGAGAAACAGTCATCTTGGCTACCAGGAACATCTGTTCCTAGGAAGAAAAAGTTGGCAAAGTATCTTTGCCTATGCAAACTGGTTCTGCAAGCTCCGTAGGGGATGTCTGCATGGCCGTATTTCCACTTCGGCCACATCCCTCAATCACATCCCCTCCACCCACGCACATACTCAGGTCCACTGAAAAAGATACCACCACTGATGCATTCCACTCTGTGTCAGACACCGGGCTATGCACTTCATGTGGCTCCATTGTCTCTGGGAATCCCCACATTGATTCTGAATGGCAGATACACTTATCCCCATTTGACAGAGGCAAAACCCAAGGCTCATTGTGGTTTGGTGGATCTGAGGGACCTCCACGTTTTTTTCCACACTGCCTTCCATGGTCTTAACTTGCTATTCCTTGAAAACCTCTGTTCAGGTGGTTCCACTGCCTGGAGGAATACCCTAGCTGCACCCATCGGAGCACTCCAGCTCTCCCGGTAAGCTCTGTCGGGTCTCCCCATTCAGCCCGAGCCTCGTGGTACCTCACAGACCACCTCGTACAACAGATTCATACACATCGATGGCCATGCTGGGCTGTGAGCTCCTGGATGCCATGGTCTCACCCACCCTGTAGCCCTCCCGCCACTGCCCTGAGCCCCGCACATAGTAGGGCATGGCTATGCTACCATGGCAGACTGTTCCTCTGCCTCACTGCTCCCCCAGCCCTTTGGGAGCTCAGGGTCCCACGGGGAGGGCAGTTCAGGCTCCATCTGCGTCCTGGAAGTGGCCTTGGCAGCTGTACCAGGAAAGGAGTCTTCTTGGCCACTTGGTCTCCATGGCACCGTCCCTCAGTCCCAGGCACACTGGGGCTGCACAGAGAGCCCCGGGACCAGCCTCTTGGCCCAGCGTGGCTGTTTCGGGGGCATCATGAGTCTCTTACCATGGACCTACCAAAGACCCTGGGGTGCAGGGACCGGCCAATGGCACTGTCCCCACATCTGCAGGGATGTTTACGGCCTATCAAGTCCTTTCCTAGACCGTATGCCTGATTATACAACACGCTGCTAGCAGGAGCTTTCTCAGAGTTGTCTGCCTTGCTAATTTTTATATCTCTGTGATTTTGAACTTTAAAAAATGTGTACGTATTACTTCTACAACCAGGAACAGACACCAAATGAAAGCTTTCACATCCTTGAGCTCATGGCCACGTGATTTAGGGCAACCTCCTTAATCTTTCCAAAGCTTAATAGCCTCACTTGAAGATGGGGTCAGAGGGACCCGTGCCCCATAGGGGGCGGTGTGGATGGAAGGCCCTGATGCCTATAAAGTGACCTGCGCAGTGTCACCCATAACTTCTCAAGAAATGCTGTTAAAAAAAAAAGAAATGCTGTCACTACTACGATCATGTCACTACCTGTATTATGCGATCCTCATTCTAGCCCAGTGGAGTAGACCTCGTTTCTGCATCACTCACACCGTGAAACAGAGGCCCAGAAAGGTCAGGGGACCTGCCCAGGGTCACACAGCCATTACAAAGGGGAGTCAAGCCTCCAGTCTCAGAGGTGGAAGTGAGATCGTGACCCCCCCCACCACGGACTCCCCAGGAGAGGTCTCCCCTCGGTGGGGATCAAGCCGGGGTGCACAGAGGGCCTTACCTGCAAGGTCAAGGAGCCTACAGGTGTTCGTTGACCCTCAGAACAGTCTTCGGACAGGTCAGGGGTCTCTGGTGGCTCAGGGGACGCTGGCTCCGGGGGAGCTGGCTCGGGGGTCTCCTCACTCTTCCTGCATTCCTTTATTTTTACAACCAAGTCACAGCACTTGTAATCCCCTGGGAGAGAAGATTTAGAATCCCATTTAGAGGGGCAGCAAGATTTCCTCCTGGCTTCTCAGAGTCATGAGACACAGAAGACAATTTGGAAAATAGAAACACCAGTGGGTTATTAATGGGGCTCGTTAAGCCGATGAGATCCTGCCTCCACAGACACTCCCCCCCCCCCTGCCGCCAGGTGCCCTGGTCACAGGGAGGCATGTCTGGGGGCAGCCAGACTTTGCACCGGCTAATTACACCATGGAGCTATTCCCTCGGCTTCCAGGGTTCAAAACGCTTTTGTTCACAATGAAAAGAAACTTTTCTATTCCAGGCTTCATATTAAGTGTGTCCTGTACAATTATTATAGCTCAGTTGTTTGGGAACAGTGTATTAATTTGTCTTATGTTTGCTACACTAATGATGTAAGACAGAAAAACGGTGTTCAATTATTTATCCCTCCCCTTCAGTTGCTAGTGACTACCACTGGCTTTATATGTATAATTGGGATGATCTCTCTCTCTCTCTCTCTCTCTCTCTCTCTCAGCTGGATCTGGCCACTTCCTGGGCCATTGACATTCCCTTGTGGAAAAGGTCAGGGGGCGCACTGATTCAACAGCACTTTGGGCAGGACAGCCTCTGGTGTGGGGAAGGACGAATTAATACGTATTCACTGACCACTTACTGACCAACTGCTCCGCCAGGAACACACTGTCCCTTCCACTCTTCCTGTGTGAGCTCCCCTACCCTCCTCCGCACTGTCCCCCCAACATAGCCTCCCAACACCTCCCCAGCTCTGAAACCCAAAAGCATCTTACTCCTCACCCATATGCCCTCCTATTGCCACAAAGCCCCCTCGATTCCTGTACCCAGTGACCTCCGACCTGCAGGCTGAGCCCCGATCCTTTAGGAAGTGCCCCTCTTCCCAAAGCAGGCTCCATCCCACCAGCGGTGTGTTCTCACGGCAGAACACGCTTCTCACACACAGCAGCACTGTTACGGGGTAAGGTCATAACAGGATGCTTTACCCCCACAAGCCTGTGTCTCCCTCGAGGGCTGGACCATGTCATATTCCCCTTGCATCTCTCCATGGGGGCAGCCCAGGAGCCTGCCAGGAGCTGGTTCTGTTGGGAGTGGAGAGGTGGCCATTAGGAGGCTCGAGGGGCCACAGGACGCACCTCCAGGGTCCCCTGAATCTCTTACCTGAAGCCCCTGCTAGAACATCCACCATCCATGCCTGGATCCTCTCTGGCCTGAACCAGCTGTCCTCTTTCCATGTAAAATCCACCCATGTTCCCTAAGACCTACAGGTCCTGCAAGCAGCCCAGACTTTTTGTAGCTCATTCGTGGTGGATGTTCCATTTCCAACTATTGCCTTCCATTCTGTACCAACAACATACTACTTAGAGGATCTCAAATCGTTCTCTTTCATTCCTTCGGGCATTTGCTCTTGTTCTTCCTGGAGGATTTCCCTGTTGCTCCCCTATGCCTGCTTCCAGCCTAACCGACCGGCCCAGATATCGATCCCCCAAGTCCCCTGCAGCTAGAGTTAATTACACCTTCCACCACACTGTCCCCCTTTCTTGCTGTGAACTTTCTCCTGCCTCACCTCACCCACAGGGATGTCACAGTGCCTCACAGCCTTTCCCACCCGCACCCCACCACCAGCCCCTGCACCCCAGGGGCGGTGCAGGCATGCCCGTCTTCATCAGTGCTCACATCAGTGCTCTCTTGTAGCTTCAAAGTCTCCCTACTGTGGCCTCTCCTCCCCAGTCTGTGCTCCTTGGCAGGGCCTCAGCCCCCAGCCTCACCCTTTGCCTCCCATCCGCTACCCCCGCCCCACCGTCCAGGAGACCGTCTCCTTCAGAGTGAATCTAATTAGATCTCTGCCCCTCAAGGGCTTGGCCTTGACTTCAGTTCAAAGCCCCTGAGTGGGTTTTAAGGACTTTCCAACTTGACCGTGTGACCTCAGACTCCCACTAAGCCCCCCTCTGCCCTCCTAGCACTCTAGCCCCCCTGGATCCCAAATCAACCATATTCTTTCCATCAACCCTTTGCTTTGTGCATGCCTTTCCCTCAGTCTGCAATACTCTTCACCCTCAGGTCTGATTTGTAAGCTTCTAGTCAGCTTTCAAGTCCCTGCTCAGAATCATTTCCTTGAGGAGGAGATCTGTCCCCACCGTGGAGCACCTGTGGCCACCTGCAGCTTCCGGACGGCTCGGCACAGAGACAGGTATGATCCTGGTGTCTCCAGCACTGGAGGTCAGGGAGCACTGAGCACGGTGACTAGCACACAGGAGGCATGTATATAGTAGGTGTTTAATCAATGTTTCTTCAGTATATTAATGGATGAAGAACTAGGGATTAACTTGGCTCCCAGGTGAAATTAGTTTTGTCAACTACCATAGCCCTTTTAACCTTTATATTCCAAAACTATATAACCTGGTGGGTTTCTTTTTGTCCTCATCCATAGTTGTTTGGGAAAATCTTCAGAGTGATAGGAGATCTAAATTTTCTCACTGAAAACTGGGCACCACAGATCTCTTTTCTATTCTGCCTTTATATTCTTTTATATATCACTGCTCACTGCAATATTAATAGGGGTCAGCTGCTTGATCTTAGAGGCGGGATGGCCAGGTTGGAATTCTTGGTTCCCTCATCGGTGCAAGGCTCAGATTGGGACCTACCTGGAGGACCCTGCGGGGCCTGCACCTCTCAGCCAGGACCCTTGCTAGGCACTCATGGAAGACCACGGGCGGCCTGGTGGACCCCAGAGCAGCCACACCAATGTCTCATACCCTCCTTAGCTAAGCCTGGGAGCCTGCCATGTGACCTTCCTCTAGGCCTTAGTGGATCCAGACCTGCTGCGCAGCGGGGCTGGAATCCCTGACCCACACAGGGTTGTCTTCTCCATGCTTCGGAGGGAGAACTCACCCACCATGGAAACCTGCAGGTCCCGCCTGCTCTCAGCTCACACAGTCCAGAAGGGACAGCTTTATGAGGTGAGCTTGTATGGACCAGGGCTCAGGAAGACATCATACCATTTTCCATATGAATATCAAGGCGGAATCACCTCAACCCTACCTCCCTTGCTCCTTACCTTTGGGGAACTCTCCTTCTATCTGAACATCACTGTCTTCCTGTGGAAATGTGCATAAATCTTGTAAGGGGCAAAGAAAGCCAGATAAGGGGATTCCGGATTTCAGGAAGCTTTGCTGTTGACTCTCTGAGGGCTCAGAGAAGTCGCTAGACTGACAGTTGTTGTTTGGAGAGCTATACCCATCAGGAAGGAACTCTTTAACCAGCTTCTGTTCCGCTGGGGGAGCAGACAAAGTCACACGTGCTTCTCCTTGTTGCTTCTCGCTGCTTCCAGAAAATACTTTTGCTTCTACTAAAAATAAAACAAGAGTTGTGCTCAAAACATCTGACGAGTGCACATCAAATGTACTGACTTTGGCACACCTTGCTTGTCTGGAGACGGAGACACAGGTGAGCTGGAGTCATTGGGGGCCAATGTGCACGTGCTCTGGGGGCATTTGTCACGTGATCACCACTCTGGGTAGGACGTCCCCCAGCTCACTGTGGAGCTCCACTGTATACACCACTTTCATGCATTCGGTCTAAAGACTTTGTGCTCGCCAGTGCCCTTAGAAACTCAGATGACTTTCTCAACACTAGTCAAGAGAGTGGGTGGTTCAGCACACTGACTGTGGGGTCAGAGTACCTGGGTTCAAATCCCACCTCTACCACTTCTCAGGTATCCAGCCCCATCTATAAAATCGAGGTAATCACATTATTACTTATTTATTATTTTATCTATTTTCATAAGAAGTTCATATATGTATGTAACAACACATTTATATAATTTATATCATTCTTACAGAATAACATTATAGTAATTAAAATTGAGGCAATATGAAAAAATACTGATCCATGTAAGGTGTTTAGCATAGTACCTGATACACGGTAAGCACTTAATAAATGTTACCTATCATCATTAATGCAGAAACATTGATGGAGGCTCTGTACTATGGCAAGTACAGAGGTAGGAGGTAATTAATGAGGTCATAGTGCAGACTTCTCATAAAGCAGTGGATAGAAAATGTATACAACATGTTGCTTACTGCCACACTGTAACCCCAAAGGTCTAGAAAGCACCTGCTGCCCATCAACAGGGGACTATTAGATCCTAGTGCCCCCACACTTTGCAGCAAGGGAACAGAATAGGGCAGATGCTCCTTTGTAGATGTGGAATAATCTCAGAGATGTGTTATCAAATGAACGAAGCAAAATGCAGGACCGTGCATCAGGTCTGCTTCCACTGGTAAGTGCTTATATACTCAGGGCATCCCTGGAAGGACCCAGAGGTGCTGGACATTGGGGACCCTCAGGGCAGTGCAGGACCAGGAACTGAGAGTGGAGGAGAGACTTTCTGTTCACTTTTTGCCTCTTTTATACTCTTGGTTTTTCTTTTGAAATACTGTATAACGTTTAAAAATTACTCATTTTAAATAAGTTAGTGACTCTTCACCGGGCACCATCTCCTATGTTAAGGCCCCCTAAGGAGCAGGGCCCCACCCGGGGAGAGAGCCCCCACTGCCGGGAGCACATGTCCAAACCCCTTTGAGCACTGAGGAGAAAAAAGTCCTAGGAACCGCTGGAATAATAAGGACTCTTAGAAGCTTCTTGCAATATTTTCTCAAATGTCCTATGCAAAAAGGAAATGAGCCCATGACCACCTGGCATTGACTAGAATGGGGACCTCTTTTAAAATATCTCAGTTGTCTGCACTTCATTCCAACCCTCCTGTCCCTGAGCCCTTGTGTCCTCGACAATGAGAACAGGTTGAGTGTGGTGATGCGGGGCGGGGGGAAGAACAGAGGACACAGAGGGCACAGACGGTGTGTCAATGTGCTCCCTGGCTCTGGCATCTGGGCAAGTGAATCCACACAGGGTAAAGCCGGATTTCCATGTTCTTATAACAAACAGCCAAAATGAAGGGAAGCCCCTAGTGGGTCCCAGCACACTGGGGGTACAAAGAAAACGGCAGTTATTCTTGGCCCTGTCATTTGGAGAGGACATGTGGTCTCCTCCAGTAAAGGTTGGGCTTTGCTCATTTGTACAGAAAATATCTTTCTAAACTGTTATTTCAAAAACTGCCAATTCTGTTTAAGTATGAAATGCCATGAGCAAAAAGTCTCAAAATAGTTATTCCTTTCTATGTTGCTTCCTTGTATGAGAAGCTCTCTTAAAAGAATCAAAAACGAAATCAGTGATCAGTGGTGCAGTCCCCATCTGCTCCTTGCATACTGGTGTCGAGCTCTTTAAGGGAGGCTGACCTCCCTACCTACCTACCTATCAGTTACCTGTTGATCTGGTTTCATGTAAATTCTTTTTTTTTTTTTTTTTTTTTAAGATTTTATGTACTTGAGAGAGAGAGAGAGAACGAGCAGGGGGGAGAGGCAGAAGCAGAGGGAGAAGCATGCTCCCCACTGAGCAAGGAGCCCGATGTGGGACTCAATCCCAGGACCCTGGGATCATGCCCAGACGTTTAACCAACTGAGCCACCCCGGCATCCCTGGTTTCATGTAAATTCTTATGTGAAGCATTCTCTACAAATCAGGTGGTCCACTTGTAACTTGGAAGGGTTAAGACAACTCCCAGAAAGTATAATGTAGTTGGGGTGCTGGAGAAGAGAAAAATATGCAGTCCAAGAAGGACTCTTTTTTTTTTTTAAGATTTTATTTATTTATTTGAGAGAGAGAATGAGATAGAGAATGAGATAGAGAGAGAGAGCACAAGGGGGGAGAGTGGGAGAGGGAGAAGCAGACTCCCCGCTGAACAGGGGAACCCGACGCGGGACTCTATCCCGGGACTCCAGGATCATGACCTGAGCCGAAGGCAGTCGCTTAACCGACTGAGCCACCCAGGCGCCCAAGAAGGACTCTTTTGACAACTTATTGATCAGATCTCTTTTTGTGGATTCTGAAAAGTACAACTATCAACTGTGAAATTGTCCTCAGGCAGGTCTTCACAAAGCAAGGATGTGCATGTTCTTTCTCCCCTTTATGCCCTGCGTGTGGGTTGGGCTGGACATTCTCGATTCATGCCCCCAATTTCAACGCTATCACCCCAGTGATGGCCCATTGCACTGCTGACTCTGCCTCTCTTGAGGGTCTTAAGAGAAGTGTGGGAAAATCAGCAGCCTCCAACAGGCATTTCTAGTTCTTGACTCAATCTGGGCCAGGTGAGGCTACCCCAAAGTCCTGAGCACAAAATGAGGAAAAGGTACCCCCTTCCCTGAGACACTTCACCTCCACTGGCAAGAAAATAGCATAATGAACCAATCTGATTGGAAAAGATACTTCAGTGATTCTTTCCAAATATTAAGACAGTGCACCATCTTTTATGTTCTAGTTCTTTTTTTTTTTCTGAGAGAGAAAGAGAATCAAGTAGGGGGAGGGGGAGGCAGGGGAGAGGCAGAGGGAGAGAGAGAATCTTAAGCAGGCTCTAAGCCCAGCACAGAGCCTGATGTGGGACTCGATCCCAGAACCCTGAGATCATGACCCGAGCTGAAATCAAGAGTCAGACGCTCAACCAACTGAGCCACCCAGATGCCCCTACAATCTTTTATGTTCTTAGGTGAGCCCATACCGAGCCATTATCCCCCCACTGGCCTACAATCCTGCCTGCGACAACTTGGCTCACAACAGAAGCTAGAAAATGAGCAGTGGTTGCTACAGAGAAGGACCTGCACAGCATCCAGAGTCTGTCAGTGAATTGCAAAGGAAGAGCGAATTAAAAAAACAGGAAAACACACACATGAGCCAGAGAGGATAGCTGTCTAGGGGATGCTGAAGAGCCCAAGGCAGGTACGTCACATACAGAATACATTTTAGAGTCATTTATCTCCAAATTAGTTTAGATTTTGTTTTAGGTGTTTTGGCATTGAAGATGGAACTCAGCTCCTAGGATGGTCATCTCTAAGGGTTTGGCCTACCTCTGTGTACCTTCCTGCCTTCTTAAAACAGACCGAACCCAGCCAATTAGCCAAAGAGACATTTCTGAGCAAGGCCGGCTTCCTTGAATCCAAGGCATACATTTCCTCCCGTATTTCAATGTTCCTGCTGGGGATATTTCTCCCCTCGAAAGATGGACCATCTTACAAATGACTGGGTCTTAGAAACAGAGTAATTGAAGCTTCTGTCGATGTTTCTGGGTCATGGATATAACCATGAGTTCTAAACTACAGGGCGAGTCTGAGGATCTCCTAAAGGACAATGTTATTTGCACTGTAGCCCCGACTGCCCTCGCCCGTCACCACCTTATTAAAGCTCTTATGTCTGAATTTTCTGTACAGTTTCCCTAACTCCTCCAGCTAACCCCGGAAGCACCACATCTCACTGGAAACCAAAGCCGTGAGCTTGACAGCACTGTGTGTCAATCAGCCGGAAAGCCACTCTGCGTGGCACCTTGGGGTCAACTGCAGACTCTCCGTGCTTTCGGCAGGACTTTGCTGTCCCCACTTTTGGCACAGGGACCCAGGAGGCTGCTGTCAAGGGAAAGACAGGGCAGCACAAGGCATGCTAGTTTTTGGACACAGAGGCTGTTGCAGGGGGAGGGGAGGCGGCACCATGGACCCTCAATAGCACACAACTTCTTCAGCAAGGGCTTTGCTCCTTTCACCAGAGAGAAATCCTCCAACTACCTCCAATTACGATATGCAGAAAGTGAAATTAAAGAAAGTCAACTGGTGGCCCACCAAGAAACTACCAAGAGAGGAAATAAAGAAGAGCATTTTGCAACGAGCAAGGCTGGCGGATGTTTTGTCTTTTTTACGCATCAAGGCTTCATCTTTGAGCTGCAGGTGAAAGCTCATGTGGAAATGGATCTCCACATGGGACCCCGCATCCCACCCAATCCAGACTTCTGTCTGAAATCAGCCGAGAATTGTTTCAGCATATTTCTGCTCAGTTTCTATGAGGAGCTGATGTGGCCTAGGAGGGGAGGAGAGTCCGAGGAGGGGAGGGGAGTCCGAGGAGGGGAGGGGGGCGGGCAGCAAACGGGATAAACAGCTCCCGGCAGAGAGGATGGGGGCAGCAAGCCCCTGAGCCAAGCCATCCAGCTAGAGCTGCTGCCCTGGGGAAGAGACGAGAGATGAAAAGGGAGAGCCCAGGGGAATAGACTGGCAACCTAAGAAGCAGAGGGTAAGGATGAAAGGGCGTCCCAAGGTGGCTGGGCCAGAGGAAACATACGAGGAACGAGCCCTTTCCTTCTCCGGAAATGAGACTTCCTGCCCGTGCTAGCCCTTCCTAGACAGTAAACAGCTCTCCTCTGCTATACGCCCCAAACATCAGAACCCTGTCTCTCCGTAAAGAAGTCGACTCCACG